CGGTTCAGCGAACTGGATCCTACTGGAGAGTGATTGATGTGTTGGCTCTAGATGTGCAAGCTGATTGGGGAAATGCTTGTTTGAACTAGTGCAAACTGTTGCCAGAGAATACAAAGATAATATCATTGCATCACTAATGTTTTCCATCTGAAATTACTGCTTCCCAGTTATATAACTTTTTAAAGTCGGTTTCAGCCACGTTCTACGCAGGCATTATCTGTTTGCGGTACTTGGGGCCGCGGGGGGACATTGCTTGCTGCAAGGGTCTCAGGCTAGCGCTGCAAAGGCTTTGCTTGGCTGTTACAGTTCTACTTAAGGCCAGATAATATTAAGTAAACTGTGCTGCCCTCCCTGACCAGAAAAAATGGCTCTGGCTTCTGGTGTAACTCTGCTCCCGCCTTGTCTCCGTTCTTCAGGATTGCAGGTTGTTCTGTATATCGATGAAGCAGACTACAACCCCTTCCTGGTGACATCCACAGGAGCCAAGATCATTGTCCACGACCAAAACGAATATCCCTTCATTGAAGACATCGGCACAGAAATTGAGACTGCAGCAGCCACCTCCATAGGGATGCACTTTGTGAGTGACAGCAATCTTGTTTCCAGGTGCACGGCACCATTTCCTTCAAACAGATGTAAATATGAACTGATACGGTGCTTGAACGTAGCCAGTAGCTGGAAGGCATCTTCATACCTCACACTTGAGCAGCTGAAGTGCCCCAAGGAAAATCCTGTGATAGCACTTTCCTGAACAAAGTTTTCCTTTGTGCAGAGGCTGTTGGAAAATCATAAACCAAACAGCTACTGGGAATTTGTTTTTTTATCCGCCCCTTCAGCTTTCCAGGGGATTTTGTTTTGTTTTGTTTTCACAGCAAAATCCACAACCACAGAAATGTGTTGTCAAGTGCCCCGTTTCGCTTTAGCAATACGCAGACAAGTTTGCATCCCACGCAGGTTCCAGGGGCGGAAGAGAACAAGCTCGAGCTGTAGGTAACCCACGGTAGGGTCAGGTCTGTAGAGGTGACTGCAGCGCAACCCATTTAACTGTTTTGTGGGTGTAAGTCTTGTTTTTCCTGGGTTTCTTGCTATCCCAGCTGTAAAGAAAACCTCGTGGGCAGCGACCATGCCTTTGCCAGCTTAGTGAAGCATCTTGCTGTTGCTGTCAGCGAGGGCAGGAGCTCCAAATGTCCCCAATTAGTGTAGTGCAGACAAGGCATTTGACCCAAGGGGCTCCTTTCCGTGGTAGAGAAGTGAAAGCAGTGCCATCAGGCAAGCCAGGCTTTCCCCTTTCATCTGGATGGGCTGTTAAGTGAGCATTTTAGTTCTGCCTTTTCTTCACTGATGGTTGGGTCAAACACATCAGCCAGCTGCTTATCTGTCCTGGCTGGGTGTGCCAGATCTAGATAGTCCACGCATTAGAAAAGACATTAAAAAACCGGGCTGATGCTTTTAAAATGTGCGAATAGTTAACTATCTTCCAGCTGCCTGGAAAACCGTGGCAGCAACTCCTTGGTCTAACCAGTGGGGATAAATGCTACCTAACAAACCAAAAGTGAATAGGAGGTATCGGAACCAGAACAGTGTAAGGGAGGCAAAGTCTTGCAAGACTATTTCCTTTGTAACTATTACACCATACAGGAAAAGGTCACTGCAGGCAGAGTCTCAATATTTAATGGAGTATTTTCCTGGCATGGTAGATTTGAACTGTTGCACGTAGCGTAAAGAGCAAGACTGAACATATCTCAGTAGCTATGTTTAAAAGATTTGGCATGAGGAAGTGATCTGATTGCAGATCAGAACTTAACACCCAAAAGAGAAACTGGACACAATTTCTGGACTCAAAACAAAAGCTGGTGATCACTGTACTGCCAGAGAGAGCCTGCCAAGGGGGAGTCACGATTGTCAGGACAGGACTGCACCACCGAGGCTCAGTCCTTGTACCTGCATCCAAATATACGAAAGAGGACACAGCGGACATGTGCCACACACAACACTGCTCACGAGAGGCTCGAGCCTGGCAATCGCTGGTTTCCAAATGCGAACATCAGTGTCTAGGTTATTGCTCATGTATTTCTGCTGTGCACTAGGACTGCCCCCCCGCCTCCAAAAATATTCCAAGATGTTTGGAATGCAAACAAGGCATTGCTTGGTAGGAGTTTCAGTGCTTTAGTTAAATATTTAGTTTGGAAATTATTTCAGTACCTGAATGAACAAGTAAGCTTTTGTAGGAGTATAAGCCACGACAAAAAAATTCTGTACAAAGAATCTATCATCTGCTAGAAGATACAGCAGCAGACTGAGGCAGGTGTCCTGGCGTTAGCTTGTCTGTGGAAGTTAAAAGCTGGTTTCACTCAGTTTTCAGAAGTAATCCATCTCTAATATTGAAATCACATATTTCTGTGTTCCCTCCAAAGAGAGGTTTGAGCATCTTTCTATAAGAGCTGACTTGCACCATACATGCCTGTAGCCACCTATTGCTGCAGACAAAAATGGTGATGCTCGCTCTCAGGTTCGACCTCAGTAACCTGTAGATCTACAGTCAGTGCCTTAAAGGTATGCAGGCATTTCTCAGGTTCCTACTAAATTGATCCTTTGTAGGATTAGCCCCTAATTTTAAACTCTGTAGAGATTGATAGGTAAATGGATTTTTAAATGCACAACATTTCTTGTCGTTTCAGGCCACTTTCTTTGTTTTAAAGTGGATAATTACTGCAGAAAGATAGTAAGAGTTTAAGGCTGGGCGAGGTAGGGCAGTCTGCAGGAAGCAGGCGATGTAGCCTGAATCAGGTCTTGTGAATTTGAGGGCTCCCAGCCCTGGTTTCAGCAGACCTTGGAGGCACAGCACGTGGCATTTCAGAGCTCTTTTCTCTGGACAGAGATTGCAGAACAGGAAGAGCTGTTATCATTCATCAGAGAGGAAGGGTCAGAGCAGTACCTGGAAAAAGTCCTGAAGGAGATACAAACGTTTGATTTAGAGTGATTTTGGAGAGGTGCTGTTGAGCATTAGCGGAGCCCGAAGTGCTGTTTTACGCAGAACAGAAGCAGCCTGTGCAACAACAGCTCAGGAAGGTGTGGGTCTTCACAGAAAAGAAAACAAAAAACGCAACAACCTCCCTTCCCTCAAAACAAACACACATCCAGGATAAATGATGCATAGCCTCTAGGACTTTCCAGCGAGAGAAAACATACATATGAATTACTCTGTTTTGAAAAATCCTCACTGTTTCGATTATTACCATCTCTGCATATCTGCAGAGGTTTTCAAAGACAGCAGGTAATCCAGCCGGAGCAGTGTTTTGGAAAATGGACATTACAAACCAAAAAACCCCCTTGTTTTGACAAGTGATTGACAAATCATTTGAGATGGGAAAAGGTAAACATGCTGTTCAAACCTGGCCCATCACTTACAGTTTCAGAATCGTGATGAGCTGCTGTTAAATCCTTTGGTTTCTCTGTGAACTCCAAAAACCAAGATTTGTTCTTTTCTGGTTCTCAGACTCGGTCTCGCAAGCTGAGCAAACCCTACAGTGACTGTACGGAGACTGGTGCTGACATACCAGTAGAAAATCTCTATAACAAGAGCTACTCACTCCAGGTAAATCTGTTACATTTGTTTTTATCAGTCGCTTGAAAACTACCTTCATAAAAAGCTTTACAATATTCTGTAGTTCAGGATCTGAGATTGTCAACAGTCCAGGCACAGGGTCACTGCTTTTAACCACTGATGTAAAAATACAGCACTTTTTAAAAAAATCCAAGTTTTATTCCTAAGTAGTTCATGTTTGAAGTTCCCTTAGGTGCCCTGTTAGATAAAGGGAGAACATTAGCTCATTAGGCAATTTTCAAGCAATGTGAGACTGGAAAATATTGGCCAAGTAAATGTTGCAGCTTAGTAACCCTTGAAGCCAGAAATTGTGACCTTTAGGACTCCAAGAATAACAGATACCATCTAATCAGTATCCAGATAGCAGGATGTTTGTTTACAGAGTAAGTTTCCACTAATTTTGCATGGTTTCTGTAATTGGGTCCTCTTGGAGAGTGTCAGTTGTTCTTGCACTCTCCGCTTGAAGAATCATAATTATATTAGCTGCTGCCTGCTGCAAAGCCTGTGCCTAGGCTGGTTTTTTATTTTATGGGATATTATACCTGAAATCTGCTGTGATGTATTGCCAGGTAGGATCACACAGACATTATCTCAGGTTTTTAATAACAGTACTTCACCAAAACTCAGGGCTTAGGAGGGCTGCGACTGGAACCAAAAAGCTTGACGACTGGTATTTCAAAAAGAGAAGTTCCAACTGATTAAGTGTTTTAGCACAAAACAGTGACTCTACTGCCCTAGTAATCCCTAGAACTTCAGGCCTCCAAATACGCACTGACAGAAGTTGGTCAAAGCTGTGAACATTTTCACTCGTGAGTCACATCCTACACCTAGTTGTTGATTCATGAACTACATGCCGTGGCTGACCAAAAACCTTCTCCTTGGCTGTAGAAAGAGCCACTGCAACACTGAAGCTTTTGATGGCTTTAGGGGAAGTGTGAGCATTCACAGAACCCCCCCTCAGAGATGATATTCTTCTTTCTTGCACCAGAGCCCAAACCCTCCATGGCACTTTCTGCCTGTGTTTGTATTCACTAGCAACAGAGCCTGAAGGCGCAGGGAAATGGGTTTCCATCTTATTGCTACTATCATAAACAGGACATTTTTAGGTGCACTTGAGCCTGGAGCTTGGCGCTGCAGCAGTGCAGCAGCCTGTGCTTCTTAGACACCAGCTCTTGATTTATCTCCCCCAGATTTGCCTGCACTCCTGCTTTCAGAAGGCCATGGTGGACTCGTGTGGCTGCGCCCAGTACGCGCAGCCCTTACCTGCTGGGGCAGAGTACTGCAACTACAAGAAAAACCCCAACTGGAGTAAGTGTTCAAACACCTCCCACGTGCCTCAACCACCCGCTGCCAGCCACATCCCTCCACAGCCCCGTCCCCGGTCAGCACGGCCCTGCCTGCACCCAGCACCACCCTAGCCACACTGCGCGCTGGGAAGAGGCGAATCTGCCTTAGCCTGCCTAAGACCCTGTACCGCAGAGCCCAAAACCACCTCTCTTCTTTAGATTGACTTGTTTCTGACAGTTGTCCTAATTGCTTGCCATCTGTGCACACCACAGAAGTGTCAAGTGGAGGACTTGACCGGGTGAGGCAATTGTTCATGCCTACAGCAAGTGACAACCACTTCTCAGAGTATTTTGCAATATTTATAGGCACATCTTGTTATCCCCACCACTTAGGTGATGGCCGCAAAGGCCACCTACACCCCAGAAGCCCCACTCCAGCACAAGTAGCAAAAGGTCATTGCTTTTCTTTCCAGCTTCTCATACGTGTGTCCTCCTCCCTTCTTGCAGTGTACTGCTACTACAGACTGCACGAAAAGTTTGTGAAGGAGCAGCTGGGCTGCCAGCAAATCTGCAAAGATGCCTGCAGGTAAGCCCTGGCCACAACCAGAGGTAAAGTGCTGTGTGCGCGTGGGAGTTCAAGCTCACAACTGACTGTCTGCATCTCTCTCCAGCTTCAAGGAGTGGGCGCTCACCACCAGCATCGCCCAGTGGCCATCCACCGTGTCAGAGGTCAGTCCCTAATTGCGCTCCGCCGTGACAGCAGCACGGCACAACAAGGCATTAAATAAACCCAGAGGTTCAGCACAGAAGCAGGGGGCCCCTGGGGTATTTGTTAGCCCTTCGAGGATGCTCCTCCCAGAGGCTCAGTCTGTAGTGTCCAGGTCCAGGCTTCCCCTCCAGCAGTTCACCATTAAACTAAGATTTGGCTTGTGGGCTGGGAGATCCCCTCAGGGACAGCTGGTCAGTCACACACATTCAGTTCTGGCACCCAAGCTGGTCCAAGGAGGTATGGAGCATGAGCTCCCTTTTCAGGGGATTTCTACACAAGTACATGCAGCAATAGCAGTATTTTCTGTCTTTTTTCCAGGACTGGATGCTTCGAGTTCTCTCTTGGGACAAAGGGCAAAAAATCAACAAGAAGCTGAACAAGTAAGTTTCCATGTATGTGTTTCTAGCTTGCACCTCAAGCTCAGATATAATCTCAGCAGCCCTAATGATGGCAATTGGGGAAAAAGCTCCCTTAGAGCAGCCCAGCCCTACTGGTCCAACTGGTTATTTGCATAGTTTTTCAGTATGTTTCATGTTATTGTTTTACTAAACCCTCAGCCTGCCTTCTGTTTCTCCTTTCAGGACGGACCTCGCAAACCTCATGGTGTTTTACAAAGACCTGAACGAGAGATTCATTTCGGAGAATCCTGCCAACACAGTAAGTGAGCACAGCAGTTCCCTGCTCAGCACCAGGAGGATGCAGCTCTTCCTCCCGGACAGGCTGGAAGTTTTCATCTTGCCAGGGGAGCGGTCCCATCCAGGCAGGGGCAGGAAACCATCCACAGACGATGCACCCCAGGGCACCCAGTCCTGTCCTTTGCAGCCCTTTTATCCGGGGCCACTTTTCAAACTGTCCAGTCCCAAGCCCTGCAGCGGGGTGGCCTGCGGGCTGCCTGCAGTAAGCGCAGCGCTGAGCTCCCGCCGAAGCAGAGCAGGAGAGGGTAACGCAGGCAGCAGAGGAGGGGCCCAGCGCATTTGTTAGCGCTCACAGCAAACCCTGGGTGCCCCAGCTTGGTGCAGCCTCCCTGCACGTTGTCACAGTGCCGTGGACACGTGTCCAGTGCCCGCAGGAGCTGATAACCTTGTGCTCTCTTCTCTTCCAGCTCGTCATTCTTCTTTCCAACTTTGGAGGCCAGCTGGGCCTTTGGATGAGCTGCTCCGTCGTTTGCGTCATTGAGATCGTCGAGGTCTTCTTCATCGATTCGCTTTCCATCGTAATGCGGCGCCAATGGCAAAAGGCAAAGAAATGGTGGAACGACCGAAAAAGGGACCGGTCAGGGAAGCCACCGCAGGCCGGCGATCTGGAGAGGCAGGGCCACGATAACCCCGTCTGCATCGACGAGGACCTGCCCACCTTCAACACCGCTCTGCACCTGCCGCTGCCCCAGGACAACCCCTTGCCCAGGACTCCCCCCCCCAATTACAGCACTTTGCGGCTAGAGACTGCGTTCACAGAGCAGCTGCCCGATACGCTAGAGGTTGGGCAACACTGATGCTTATTTATCCACCCATCCAGGTGCCAGAAGAAGAGGTGGGTGCTGGACCCACACGTCCAGGGGTGAAAGGCACGCATCCAAACGAGCACTGAAGGGCTGTTGGGTCAGACCCTTATTCAGGAATTGAACTTGCAGTCAAAGCTTCTCTGAGCAAAGCTCAGACACAAAAGCCAAGGGCTCAGAGACACTGGGAACTTCAGGCAACATCAATTCTCAAGTTAATCATTGCAGGAGATGGCTGGAGCAGGATGTGGCACTGAGCTGGGATGTCTTGCCAGACAGAGGCATACATTAGCAACCAACTGCACACACCCCATTGTAAGTGGGCAGGAATTACTCCACAGCAGAAGATTGATGCCACATTGAGTATTAATGCTAATTGCTCTCTGCTGTGCGGCTTGACTTGTGGGAAAAACCCAGAGCTTTCAGGAACGCGGCCTGACATTTGTTACAAGGGGCATGACAGAGGTTTGGGAAGAGCACAAACTGGATAAAAGGAAAGCTTTCAGGTTGAATTTTGATTAGGAACCCGATTCCAAAGGTGGCCTGAGGACCTCTATATTCTGAGATGAAATGTTAGGATAGCCACGGATGTGCTTGTAGAGCAAGTTATTGCACAGCTTGAGAACTTGAGTCATCCCAAAAGAAACATCTGAAAAGGGCACGAAATCCAATTCGGATTGCACTAATGAACTGCATACTCTACAATCTTGTTTCATTTTACATCATTCAAGCCAGCCATTAAACATAACCTCAGA